TCGTTGCCGCATCCTTGTCAGCTCCAGCTTCAAGCAACAACCGCACAACTTCCAAGTGGCAATTTTGGGCTGCAAAGTGCAACGCCCTTAAACCATTTGTTTTTGCTGCATCTTTGTCAGCTCCAGCCTGACAACTTCCAAGTTGCCCCTAAAGGATGCAATGTGCAAAGCCGTCCAGCTATCTGTATCTTCTGCTGCATCTTTGTCAGCGCCAGCCTCGAGCAACAATCGAACAACTTCCAAGTGGCCATTATCCGCTGCAGTGGACAAAGCCGTCCAACTATCTGTATCTGCTGCATCTTTGTCAGCCCCAGCTTCGAGCAACAATCGCACAACTTCCAAGTGCCCTTCCTTGGCAGCAAGAAGCAAACCTTCCCCGTTCGGGTCCAGTGGCTTTTGAAGCAGCCCTTCAATGTGAGCCACATTATTCTCCTTGCAGCTTGTGAGCAGTTCTTCTTTCATGGTCTCATCAGGGACACAAAAGGGCAGAATTACCAGCTGGACACTTGATAGTGCTCGTAGAGCCAAGTCATCCTCCAATTCGCCCATTTCGTCACTGAAGAGTCTTTGCTGAAACCTTGAGCACCCAACCTGAGCTGAAAGAAGTCGCTTGAGGTCTCGAACAGTTTGTCCACTTTCCACCATATAATGCATCTCATCCTCATCAAGCTGAGCAACCGTGTTGCCAGACACAGCGCTAACCTGCATTGTTGAGGTTTCAACAGCAAGAAGCGTTGGCTTGAGCCATGGTCAAACTCCAGGTGAAAAAAATAACATGCCAAAGATTGAGAACGATTCAAAGGTTCAAACGTGAACGTCTTCAATGGCAATGGCAAACAATGGCAATGTCTTCGAACCTGAACCGGACGCACACGATGCGCAACATCAGCCTGCACGCAGTCAGTCCTCGACCCCATCGGAACCCACCGCACGACTTGCAACGCTCGAGTTGATTCCCGCCCAGGGAGCTCGTTCTTCCGGAAGCAAACAACTCAACAGTTACCCGGTTACCTTAGAACATCTTAGAACATGGGACATGACCCAAACGACCTGCCACCACGCCGTAGAGCTATATTGTTCCACGCTTTCTGCGTTCCTCACGCGCTTGCAGCGCGTCTTTCCATCTCGGGTGGATGTGGAGAGCATCCCCAAACTATCCATGCTTGGATTTGCTGTCCAGGTTGGGGGAATTTTACCTTACCCAGACACTCCATGCAACAAAGACGACCCATTGTCTGACACCCCCACAAGCGATTTCGGCGAATCCCTTCTGAACATGTTGGATATCGTGTCTTTGACACGATGTCCAACCAAAAAAAACAAAAAGAAGACGTGCTCTTGGTCAGCTGTGCCACTTTTTTTTGGTTTGCCAGGGTCAGCGTGAATTGCGCGACATTGTTCACGGCCAGGGAGACCAACTGCGAGTCCAGGAACAAATTCTGCGCAGCTGTACACCTGTCAGCCGTGCCACTTGTACACTGTATGTCGCCCACGTGGTGGCTGCGAAAGAACGAGTTGAAAGCAGACGAACACAAATGTCGGGACCACGAACAATCTACAGAAAACCAGAGAGGTGTCCAAATCGGCTGGAAAGCGAAGAGGTCAGCAATAGAAATCAAGTTTGGCCTACCCCGCAGTTCTCAAGAAATAGCCTTCCGTCACCAAAAAACAATTGAAAGCATGTGTTGAAACTGACAGTTCCATTGGATATGGCTTCTGATACTGCATCTCTACATCCTCCTGTTCATGTTTCTACTGTTCCAACCTCGCCAATACCCGTTTTTCTATCCAGCTGAACCCACTCGGGCCAGATGCTCCCGCTCCGCCCCGTACCACCCGCTCGCTCGCACGACCCGCTCACCGGTCGGCCGCGAACGGCCTCCGAGTCCGGCCGTTCCCTTTGGTCCCTTCGGTCCCTTCGGTCTGTCCGCCTGGACACGAGATCGAAGTGCACTTCCACGAAGTTCACCTCGGACCGGCCCCGGTGGCCGTGGCGAGTCCGGTCGGGTCCGGACGAGGTCGGACGAGGTCGGGCGTGCCAGAAAGGATCTCGGTGGGGCAAGTGAGGGATGGTCGGGATGGTCGGGATGGTCCTGGAAGAGGAACTGAGGAACAGAGTCTCTGCTTCAAAAGGGGGACGATATGCACAAAGGCCTTAAGTGGATGCTAATTCTGAAGATGACCTTGCACAGGTAGCTCTATCTTTACACATGACTTGCTTTGGGATGGTATCAACAAGGGAATCACCTCTCATCTTGCCCCTCCCATCCTTCCATGTCCGTTCAAACAAGCAGCAAAAGTCAGGACTTCCATGACCACGACAGAGCCCATTGCAGGAGCCATGAGTGGATGGAAGATTCGTGCCACGGTCTTGTCACTCTTCGTCTCATAAGCCTCTGACTCTCAGCTGCAAGCTCCCAGGAGCGATTGGAAAAGACAGAAAATTGGGCAAATCGAGCAAACGTCGAAAAAGGAACCAGAACCCCCCGCAAAGATCCCCAAGTAGAACCTCTTTTTAGCCCAAGAACAAGCCTCTATGCCGTATACATCTGTATAACTATCCGTATATTATAAACCTGTTACAGGGTGCAATGGGGTGCAATGAGGTGCAATGAATGGAGATAATTACGGATCTGCCCAAGTTTTGGGGGTTCCGTTGAAGGTTTGAAAAGGTTTGAAAAGCGCCTTATGCAACGCAACAAGCCAAGCGGAGCCACACACTGGTCGAACGGTCGGACGGTGTCGAATCCGTGCGGTGAAGTGGTGCCACCCTGCCTCATTCCACTTCTTGATCTGGAGCAACCACTTCACATAGAAGTAGACTGATAAGATGCCCCAAATCCGGCTGATCCAGTTCCCAAAGATATTGTAGGGAATCCATCCAATGAGAGGAGCTTCCAGGACCTGGCAAAGCGCAAAGATCTGGATGGAGATGCCGACCCAGAACTTCAGCAGAACGTCTTGATTTCGAAGTGTCCTCCCCCACGACGCGGGCAGCTGGCCCAAGGGCAGCTTGATACATGCAGGATGGCTCAACTCTGAACTCTGGAAATCACATTGAAAAAAACATAGATTTACATAAGGACGCTACTATAGGGGCTCCTGGCATCGCTACTAGGAGCGATCGGACGCTACTAGGGGCTCCTGGCCTTTCTACTAGGAGCAATGTTTGCTAGAAACAATAAATATTATAATAAGTAAAATTTTGAATTGAAAGAAGATCCCCAAGAAGGGCAGCCTGGCTGCCACGTGTCGTGGCAGCGGTGTTTTGTGCTACTCCATCCAGCAACGCGAGTCGGTCTGACCCGACGAGAAACGAGGGATCAGTTTTTTTTGTTGGGCTAGCATGAAGCAATCAAAATACCTCGCTAAAAACTGGACAAATGCCAAAAAAGAGCCCAAGGCATCCCAAAACGTTTTGGTGGTGTGTCTGATTCCTCAAACCTCCTCAATCCTGGGTCTTTTTCAATGGGGAAAAACATGGAACCACCCAGTGAACCGCCTCACACACACCACGGATGAACAACTCGCTGTCCTTAAGCGCTCGATGCCCGTGATGAGGATCAAGGCGCTCAGCACCACGTTGAAGACCACCTCCGCATGACTGGCTTCCTTCACGCCCTGAGCCATTCGCACCTCGGTTCGAGCGCGTGCGGTGCCGCCCGCGTCGCCCGCGTCGAATTGAAGCCTTGTCTTCTCTCAGATCTGGACAGCTGATTTCACCAACTCGACAGTCGCCGCAAGATGTGAGGCGTTATGGGCGGGTTCATCCGTCCCACTCCATTCCAGCTCTGACGTCAAGACCTACGACTTCTGAAACGGAACAAGATACGAACATGAATCGTATCCCATTCCCCAAGAATCCCATGCGGATGGACATCTTTGACCACCCCATTGACCCTTATAAAAACAACTTCAAACCACACAAACACAATGAACAACATACAAACCCGCCCCTTCATGTCTGAGTCACCTGGCTGGAAGCCCCAGCCCACCACTAAGGGACCTCCATTGGAGACCCCTTGAAGGTCCAGGTATATATGTATATGTATTGCCCAAACGCTCCTGGACCCTCATATGCAGGGGTTGGACCCTCATATGCAGGGGTCTGGACCCTCAAAACCCTGTTTTGAGGGACCCTATCGGGCTGTGAACGGAGCGTCTGGGTGAAGAACACGGGCGCACCAAGATCTCGCGAGGCGGTGCGGTCAAGGCACCGTGGTCCAAATGCTGCCACCCAGGACTGAGAGCATGCCACTGACACCATGAATGGAGAATAAATACCTGGAGCAAACAGAGGAAGAACACTGTATAGGGAACCCAGGCCAGAATCTTGCTTGTTCAAATTCGTTGATCTGAAAGATGAGGTCATGGAACGGAATCAAAGCTTTGGCATGCTCGGCCAAGTTAATCTATTAGCTCTTGGCATGCTTTTGGCAGTGGCAATCGCAAGATCTTTTCTTTTCACCATATTTATACTTACATTGCATATAGGGCAACCAAAAGGAAGACTCACCCAACAGTCGCGAAAACGGCTTCCTTCGCTCCTTACGCCTTCGCTGTTCACTCTCGGGCAAGATGCTTCATCCACTGCTTCACTGTCATCTGACGTCTGGGAGCCTCCCTCACCTCGCCCAGGTCCCCTGGCGCCGGTCGACGGTGCCACGCCGGTGCCACAAGCCAGCGAAGATGATCGTTAAGATGTCTTTTTTTGGGCCGGATCCACCAGTAGGAGGCAAAAAAGGTAACAAGATGTCACAAGTAACTGGACTTCCAGGTATCCTTGTGCCTGGTCTGTGTGGTCTAACAAACGGCCTGCGCACTTGGAGATCCGCGCGCTTTGTCCCAGACTCCTGCTAGATGGTCCAGGTTTGGACCAATGAGGACCTTGGATACGAATGCAAACCGAAACAATGAGGGGCCATGCAACAATCATCCAAAAATCTCGGCTGCAAGTAAAAAGTTAAATTTCTCCTGTTGCAAGTATATAGAGGTCACAAGTTGTATCCAAAAATTGACTTGACACAGTCAAAGAAAGTAGAGGACGTGATCATCATGCTCAATTGGATACATCTTGATGTTGGGCTCACCAGTCAATTGCTGAAGGGCAATGTTCGACGGGTCAACCCAGTGTCCGGGACGAAACAGTGGACGGTTACGTTTGAGCCCTGCGCTCTCACTATTTCAATTGATATATGTGGCCAATGGCATGGCCCACGAGCAAAGACTTCCAAGAATCTATACAATAGAATCTTATACTTTAATAAACTAAATTACTACTAGCTTCTTGTTACTACTAGTAAGGCACTTGTTACGAACGTAGCGATGCACTTGTTCCTACTAGCAAAGGAATCTTATACCAGGAGTCACATAGAGTTGAACTGGTTTGGGGGTCGGAACCATCGATGTGACTGGGTCACCCCCCCGACTTGCTCCGTTCCTTCAGCCCCGAGGCAGCTTGCTGCGAAGGTCCAATTGCCAGGCCTGGCGCGCGCGCGGCCCGCGGGTGCGCTGCACTAAACGGATCCATGCGATCCAGGGGTCTCACTCGCGATAGTGGCTGAAACTGCATGCCGCTAAAGGACTGTGCCTGCAAACCCAGAGTAAAGAGCTTGCAAGCAGAACTCTTGCAATGCAGCGCCATCGGACTGCAACACCTGCGGAAGTGGCAAGCTTTCCACATCAAAAAACGATCTAACATACCTTGGATTCACTGGAAGTGCCACGTTTCTTGGCAATCCCTTCCCCATTTCTCTCCATCACACGGCTGAGACCGCTGCATGGGGTCATGGCAAGAATCGCCCCCCGCGCGCCAGTTTAGGACCGCATCGCGCTGGCTTGAGCCGCCGAGGCTTCCAGACAGCGGGAAACACGTCTCACGGAGTCTCACGGACTTCGGTGTTTTGTACGGATCAAATTGGTTCAAATAGGCACATGATGGCACATGTCATGGTCTATGCCCAGACCATCTATGGGACTGGAATAGTTATTACCTGTACTTGGGGGTCATACATGGGTCAATGTGTAACTATTCCAAAATAATGGATGGTCTGGGATAGATTCAGCAGTAGGCCGGGATTATCATCGACTTTGAACAGGAACTTCGTGGAACTTCTATTCACCCCAAACCAGCAGGGCCTTTGACCATCCCCACATGAGGAGTCGTGACCACCATATGAATCTGCGATCTCCGCCTTCCAGTTTCCCACTGCGCTCTCTTTGCACACACGGTCAACCCCTGCGCTCGTGGCTCGCTTTAGTTTCCACCTGAGGCCGCAGAAGGAACCGCAAATCGTCTGCATCTCGTGATCCACCATTGACTCAAAAGCAATGAATCACATCACACATGGAACACCATGAAATAGAACCCTGGAACATCCGCTCAACATCGAAAAACCGATGACAATGCAATTCCGACGAGGGGAAGAGATCCGCAGCTGTGAACCTGGAATAGCGGAATGAACGTTTCCGGGAAGAGATCTGGCCAGGCCACCAGGTCTGACAGGTGAACAAAAACCAGATCTGCACCCATTCAGCATTCGCGACCACCGGTGATCGCTCGTTGCAGATGACTTCGGTCCAATTCCACCGTTCGCGACCGGCCCCGTTTGACTGAGGTCCCGGTCGTTTGGCTCGGCCTTTCGCTTTGCCCTTCCGACCTGTTAAGGCCCCACAAGGACTCAGAATGGTGACAGAGTGTCAGCAGCAAAGTGTTGAACTGGAAGTTCTATCGAGTCCAAAGTATTTTTTTACATAATTCCAGCCTATATAGATTGCAACTAGCTTCGGGTTGGAGTATATTGGTGTGTGTCCTCCGAACTTTTGAGGCCCGAGCCTGGTTTGGCTCGATCCTCCCGAGGGCTCCAGTTGCCTTGAACATCTGAAAGCAGCTCCGCCTGGTGTGCTGAGACCGCAATCTGGGTGACTTGAAGAGGAACCATAGATGGAAATGGTGGACAACCTCGGACATTGTGGAAATCCACCAAGTACCCAGACGCTCCTGGACCCTCAGATGCAGGGGTTGGACCCTCATATGGAGTGGTCTGTTCTGGGTAGTTGCAGTAAATAGATTCTTAAAAACACAACCAAAATCTTGGCCTTGGCCGCCTCTAAGCAAGGGATGAGTTTCCATGTGTCATCATATGGGTTTCGTGGCCAACCGGCCGAAATCATCTCCGACATCTCGTCTCCGAAATCTCGCACCCCAGCAGCTGGAATCCCTCGCTCCTCATCCCGTTGAACAAACAGAAGTTTGGAAACTCTCAACAAATAAAAGGACCGGATAGCCCCACATGATAAGTTTTACAAATTTGAATTGTATATGAACATCATATGGGAGACGGAGTAGTGAGATGAAAAGTCAAGAACGAAGTGTGAGGAGAGAAGGTATATGAGGCGGTTGTGCTAAGACGTGTAGTATAAGTGATGATGTGATGGACGAGGATGAGAAGGAGGGGAGGGAGGAGGTGTGTGTGTGTGTGTGGTAAGATGGCGTGCCTGTGTGTGTGGGTGTGTGATAAAGTGTTTGATGATGTGATGAACAAGGATGAGAGGGACGAGAGAGAGAGAGAGAGAGAGAGATAGAAGGAGGCGGAGAGAGAAGTTTGGAGGCTCTGGATTTTGCGATCAGATCCGCATGAGACCTTCAAAACGTAACACGCTCGAAACGACCATCAAAGCTATCAAGTGGTCTTATCCCGACCACGGCGGGCAGTGCTAGCAGGATGTAAAGTGGAGTGAGTGAGTGGAGTGAGTGAGTGAGTGAGTGAGTGAGTGAGTGAGTGAGTGAGTGAGTGAGTGAGTGAGTGAGTGAGTGAGTGAGTGAGTGAGTGAGTGAGTGGAGTGAGTGAGTGAGTGAGTGAGTGAGTGCGTCAGTGAGTGAGTGAATGAGTGAGTGAGTGGGTGAATGAGTGAGTGAGTGAGTGAGTGCGTGAGTGAGTGAGTGAGTGAGTGTGTCGGCCACGCCTGTGTTCTCACAAACTACTTCTATGCAGCATTTACAAGGCGATTCGCATGCCGCGCAAACACTGGTCCTGCAAATCACAATGGCACCAGTGCACAGACACACTTCGCAAACATCCTTCTCGCAGCATTTACAATGCGACTCCACACCGGCAAGAACCAATACTATGGAAATCACAATGGCAGTCACGCACAGAACCGCCGGGGGCCCAGCGGCGACCACGCGCGCCGGAGGCCCTTCTGCAGTCTCTGGACACTGCGGAGACAGCCGGCCCAGCGGCGACCACGCGCGCCGCAGTCTCTGGACACTGCGGAGAGAGCCGGCCCAGCGGCGACCACGCGCGCCGCAGGCCCTTCTGCAGTCTCTGGACACTGCGGAGAGAGCCGGCCCAGCGGCGACCACGCGCGCCGCAGGCCCTTCTGCAGTCTCTGGACACTGCGGCCTTCTGCGCCGCAGGCCCTGCTGCAGTCTCTGGACACTGCGGAGAGAGCCGG